CCCACAGATGGGTTTGCCTTTGTTTGAGGCAGGACTAATCCAAAGTGTTTTTCCTAACATATTTCTCATATGCACCATGGAGACTTTATCATCTTCTGTGGTATGCAAAGGTTTTGATTGGGCAGAGCCAGCTCAGCTGGTAGAACCAGATGGCCTTTGCTAAATGTAGATCCCAATGTTTGAGGGTCCCACCTTAACAGTCCATTGTACTGTTTAGTTTTCAGATGATGGTGCATGATAGGGAATATGATATACTCGCTCAATACTATGCTCTTTGACCAAGGTCTGATGAAGCTATTTAGAAGGTGAATCCTGTTGTCTGACTCAACTCTTTCTGGGGTACCATGTTGCCACAAGACTTCCACTTTTCAAGGACCAAGATGGTGCTCCAGGCAGTGGCATGAGGGACAGGGTAGGTCTTCAGCCATCCAGTGGTTGCTTCTGCCATCATAAGCACATATTGCTTTCCTTGGTGGGTTTGCAGGAGTGTGATATAACCAATGTGCCAGGCCTCCCCATATTTATATTTTGACCATTGTTCAACATATTACAGAGGTATGGCCTGCTTGATTTCAGCACATGTTTCACAGCTATGGATAACCTGGAAAATAGTGTCCATGGTTAAGTTGACCCCTCAATCATGAGCCCATCTGTCCATTGCGTCTCTTCCCTGATGACCTGAGGTATCATCACCAAGCTGGCAATATTCACCCTTATATTGCCAGTCCAGATCCACCTGAGAAAATTTAATCTTGGCAGCCCAATCCACCTGTCCATTGTTGTGATGTTCTTCAGTAGCCTGACTCTCAGGTATGTGTGCATCTACATGACGTACTTTTATGATCAACTTCTCTACTTGGGCAGTGATATCTTGCCACAATTCAGCAGCCCACATGGGTTTACGTCTCTGCTGCCAATTTGTCTTTTTCCATCATTTCACCACCCCCACAAAGCATTTGCCATCATCCATGAGTCAGTGCAGACATAGAGTGCTGGCCATTTCTTTCATTCAGCAATATCTAAAGCCAGCTAGATAGCTTTCAGCTCTGCAGCCTGACTCGATCCACCTTGTCCCTCAATAGCTGAGACTTGCCTCCTAGGCAAGGGGGCATGAAAGAATCAACAGTTAATTCCGGTCTACTCTGAAAGATATTCT